TCCTACCACTTCTCTTGCCACATCAACTGCCATCGTTCATGGAGAGGAAGCCTCAATATGATTAAGCTCTAGTCTTAGATCATAATAAATGACCAACCCTTGTGCAGTTTTCTCCCAAGTTAACTGCAACATTCTGGGATGGAGTGATCAGCTTGTTGTCCAGGCAAGGGATTGCAGGGTCCCCTGACTCTTAGCGCACACTGGCCTGTTGTAAGACCTTTTCTTCTGCAAGCATTAAGTGGACAGTGGGTTAAACTGTACGAAATGCTGCTGTAATGCCCTCCATGTGGACCTTGGTCCAATTCCAATGATGGTTGGACAAGGGCACACATCTGCACGACTGTGTCTGTGTTCTTATGTGAGGTACACTAAACTTAGAGGAGAATGATTATGAATGATCAACTAGGGATACACTGAGTTAACTCACAGAGTGACCCCACTATCTACACTCACTTTCAGCCACTGTTTGCATTAATTTCATTCAAGCTCTCCAGTTTGATTCAGGGAAAGTGATTCATCCTTTTGAGATGCTGGATTCAATTTTGCTGCTGGATCCCTTGGCTTCTTGGCCGTTTCACATGTTGGAAGGAGTACCTCCCTCAGACTCCTTGGACAGTAGCTAGTAATTGAAACAGGCTTTTATATGGAGAACGGGGCTGGCTGCTTTATCAAATGGTGTCAGCAGGAGCTGTGCATGATGGTCAAGGGGCTGACTGCACTCGACATTGGTCATGAGGGTTCGCTACATCACTTTTGTTAATTGGTCAACTGATGCAAGAAGGCATTTGACCATCCACAGTAGAACGCTGCTACCTTCCAGATAAGACATGGAAACCATAATGTATTGATTCAATTCCATCCCATGTTTCTGTTGATATTGAAAACACCCAACCAATTCAAACATTTCTCAGCCTGTGGCCACAATTTTTACTGAAAAGCAAAATAGCCATTTTACCACACTCAGATTTTTACCAGAGTCTGAGCAATTGCTCACTGCCATATGGGAAGACTGGCAGATACATTGAGAAGGCAGCTATCAAGCAGTGTGTGGGATTGGGAGAGTTGAGGGCTTCATGCCAAGGGATTCCATGCACTACAGAGGGACCCCCAGCAGCAATACTGACCTTGCATTCAGATGTGAGGATTCAGCATTCTGAGCGGCATATCCTGCCTACTTGTCACATTAAAAATATTTCATAAGGATCCTGAATGGGCACCCCAACATTCACCCACCCAAGCTCAGAAGATGCATCTAGTCCCAGGAGCAGGGCACGACATATGAATGCCACCATGTGGGTCATTCCCAGCTGTATGCTCTATATATTAACTATGAGGTCCACTATTCCATTTGAACCATGTCCTAGAGAGTCATACAACATGGAAACAGACCCTTTGTTCCAACTAGTCCATGCCGATCATAATCCCAAAGTAAATTAGTCTTATTTGCCTGCGCTTGGCCCATCTTCCTCCAAACATTTCTTATTCATGTGCTTATCTAAATGTCTTTTAAATATTGTAATTACTCGCATCCACCACTTCCTCTGGAAGATCATTTCACACACAAACTACTTCTGTGTGTAAAAACAAAAAGCCCCTCATATCTTTTTTAAATCTTTCTGTTCTTGAGATTCCCCTGCCATTCATTTTATCTACACCCTCATCTTTAAAGTCACCTTTCAACCTCCTACACTCCAGTGAGAAAAGTCCCAACCTATCCAGCCTCTCCTTATAACTCAAACCTTCCATTCCTGGCAATATCCTGGTGAACTCTCTCTAGCTTAATAACATATTTTCTATAACAGGGCAACCAGAACTTGACATAGTACTCCAGAACAGTTCTCTCCAATGTCCTGTACAACCTCAACATAATTTCCCAACTCCTATACTCAAAGGTCTGAGCAGTGAAGGCAAGCATGATAAATGTTTTCTTAACCACCTTATCTATATGTGTTACAAACTTCAAAGAATTATGGACCTGAAACCATGGGTCTCTCTTTCTACAACACTGCCCAAAGCCCTACTTTTAATTGTATAAGTCTTGCCTTTGTTTATTTTACTGCCCTAGGCCCTATTTTTAACAGCATCTTAGGTTTGTTTAATACATCCTGATAGGTTGTGTGACCCTTTGAGCTTTTACTTATAAATTCTGTGTTCTGTGTGCTTCTTTCTCACTTCACCTGATGAAGGGGCTATGCTCCGAAAGCTTGTGTTTTCAAATAAACTTGTTGGACTATAACCTGGTGTAACCTGGTGTAGTGTGATTTCTGACCTTGTCCACCCCAGTCCAATGCCGGCACTTCCACATCATGGCTATTTTTAGTTGTATAAGTCTTACCTTTGTTTATTTTACCAAAATGCCATACCTTGCATTTGTCCAAATTAAACTCCATTTGCCATTCTTCAGCCCATTGACTCAATTGATTGAGATGTCTTTGTAATCTTAGATAACCTTCTTCGCAGTCCACTATAATCACCCTTCTTGGTGTCATTTGCAAACTTACTAACCATGCTTTCTATATTCTCATTAAATCATTTATATAAATAACAAATAAAAGTAGACTCAGCACCGATCATTGTGGAACATTCTGGTCACAGACCTCCAGTCCGAAAAGCAACCCTCTGCCCTCCACCCTTTGACTCCTGCTGTTAAATCAATTTTGTATCCAATTGGCAAGCTCACCCTGAATCCCATGTGACCTAAATTTCTAATTAGTCTACCATGCGGAACCTTGAGAAAGACTTTACTGAAGTCCAAGTGAACAATGTTTACTGCTCTGTCCTCGTCAGTCCTCTTGGTTACTTCCTTAATAAACTGAATCAAGTTTGTGAGACACAATTTCTCTGTGCACAAAACCATGCTGACTATCCTTAATCAGTCCCTGCATCTCCAAATGCATAGAAATCCTATCTTTCAGCATCACTTTCAACAATTTACCCACCACCAAAGTCAGACTCACAGGTCTACAGTTCCCATGTCTCTCCTTACATCCCTTCTTAAACAAAGGTACAACATTAGCCACTGTCCATTCATCTGCACCTCACCAGTATTTATAGACAGTACAAATATTTCTGCAACAGGCCCCACAATTTCCTTCCAAACTTCCCACAAAGTCCTGGGATACACTATATCAGGTACCAGAGATTTATCCAGCTTTATATTTTCTAAGATCTTCAGCACTTCCTCTTCCATAATGTGAATGGTTTTCGAAACATCAGTAATTATTTCCTTGAGATGTCTAGTCTCCATTTCTTTCTCCACAGTAAAAACTAACGTAAAGCAATCATTTAATATTGCTTCCATCTCCTGAGATTCAGTGTTCACTTCCAGATACTGTAACTGTACATATATTAGACGCAAAGCCTTTGACTGGATTACAGCCTGTACCTTTCCACTGGCTATCTTTAACAGTACAAAAATTTCACATAAATCCCTATATTAGGTTACAGACTGAAACTGACTGCTGGCTATCTACAGTCATAGGGACATACAGCACAGAAACAGACCCTTTGGTCCAACTCATTCATGCTGACCAGATATGCTAAATAAATCTAGTCCCATTTGTCAGCATTTGGCCCATATCCCTCTAAACCTTCCCTATTCATATAGCCATCCAGATGGCTTTTAAATGTTGTCATTGTACCAGGCTCCACCACTTCCTCCAGCAGCTCATTCCATACACGCACCACTCTCTACGTGAAAAAGTTGCCCGTTTTAAACCTTTTCCCTCCCACCTTAAACCTACACCCTATAGTTTTGGCCACCCCATCCCAGGTAAAAGACCTTGTCTATTTACCCTAACCATGCCCCTCATGATTTTATAAACCTCCAGAAGGTCACCCCTCAACCTTCGATGATCCAAGGAAAATAGCTCCAGACAATTCAGCCTCTCCCTATAGCTCAAATCTTCCAAACCCGTTAGATTCATGGAAAATTGCACAATAGGAGGTGACTGTTCAGTACAATGTGCCTGTGCTGACTATTTGAAAGAGTCTTAGTTCCCCAACCTTGTATGTGGACTTACCATAGAAATACAGTGGCTGCAAGAGTTGGTCAGAGACTAGGAATCCTGCAGTGACTAATTCACATCCTGACTCCCAAAGCCTGTCCACCACCTGCAAGACATAAAACAAAAAAACCCCAAAGAATCAGAATGTTGGAAATAAGAAACATAAACAGAAATTGCTGGGAAAACTCAGCAGGTCAGGCTGAGAGAAACCAGAGTGCTGAAGAAGGGTCACTGGACCTGAAATGTTAACTCTGCCTTCTCTCTGCAGACGCTGCCAGATCTCTGAGTTTTTCGAGCAATTTCTGCCTTGGTATCTAAAAGGCACAAGTGTGTTGGAATATTACTCCCTTGCCTAGGTGGGTGCCCCTTCCACCAGCCACACTCAGTGGCAGTAGTCTGCACCATCTGCAAGATGCACTGCAGAAATTCACCAAAGATCCTGGGACAGCAAATTTCCAAACCCACGACCGGTTCCGTCTAGAAGGACAACAGCAGCAGATATATCAGAACACCAACCCCTCCAGGTTCCCATCCAAGCCACTCAGCATCCTGACTTAAAAATATATCACCATCCTTCACTGTCACTGGGTCAAAATCTGGCAATTCATTCATTCCGTCTAAGTTAAGCCCCATTCCCCGGTCTAATCCAAACCCATTCCCCAGTCTAATCTAAACCCCATTCCCCAATCCCGGTTCTGAGGAAGGGTCACCGGACCCGAAACGTTAACTCTGTTTTCTCCACCACAGATGCTGCCAGACCTGCTGAGCTTTTCCAGCAACTTTGTTTGTGTCTCCAATCCCGATTCCCTGGTCTAAGTTAAACCCCATTCCCCAATCCTCAGTCCCCGGTCTGTGTTAAATCCCAGTCCCCCTTACCCTTTCCCCGTTCCCATTCCCCAATGACTGTCGTGGCTGCCCCCTAGTGACCGACTGCAACGAGCCCACGCACATAGAGCATGAGCACTGAGGAAAGAAACAAGCCCGGGAGGGGATGTGTGCATGCGCGCGTGCGCAGTGTGGATGTGTACGGAAGTTGTATTGCGACTGCGCAAACAGGTCCGGAGTGGGAGGACATGGCGGTGAGTGAGGGAAGGGTCGAGAGAGGGGAGGAGGTGTGGTGAGAGTGAGAGTGAGGGTGCGGGTGAGGGTGAGGGTGAGGAGGGTGGGGAGGGTGAGGGAGAAGCAACCGATT